GTAAGTGCTTATATAATCTTTGGGCAAAATCTGCCTCATTAGATTTCTTGTAAAGTTTATTTTTGTCCATTAAGGCTTTGACTGTATATGTCTGCATAAAATACTTAAAGGGACACTTCAGTCGCCCAGACCACTTCACCTGATTTAAGTAGTCTGGATGCAAACTCCCATTACCCTTAACCCTGAGCATGTAATTATTGCAGTTTTTATAAACTTTTATAATTTTATAACTCCTCCTCTAGTGGCTGTCTAGAGGGACTTCTTGGCTTGAGGGAGACTTTGGTTGCCTAAACGACGCTGGGCGTCCTAACCTTATGTATGAGGCCTTCCAGCGTCATATGAATTCCCATAGGAAAGGAGTGAATAATGCTTTCCTATGGGGAAATCTTAATGCGAGCGCGGCCATTGCGGATGCTGGACATCGGTGGGGGAGGAGCGTGGGTGGAGCTGTGCCAGTGCCAAGGGACATCGGCGGTGGACACAGGTAAGTGACAGAAGGGGTTATTAATCCCTTCTGCACCACGGGGGGGGCCTTGACAGAGGGTGAATCTATAGTGCCATAAAAACGAGTTTGTTAACTGATTGTTAACTGAAGGTAACTTTGGGCTAATAAAGTAAGAGAGTGATTAGCATTCGGTTGAATTTCCAATTTGCAAATTGCAGTTATCTCCACTTTGTCCTTAAGGTATTTTCGTTCTTAAATTTTTCTCCAAAGTATTTACACATCAAAGAATAGCGGGAACACATCAAAATAGGATAGGAAGATCCAACAGCTATGGTACAGGAAAGATCAACTCAAAGATTCTAATACTATCCTTACCTTTTTGTGTCATTTTACCCCACTCCCTCTAGCATGTAAGCTTATTGAGCAGGTCCCTCCCCTCTGTTCCTGTGTGTCCAACTTTGGTTATAACTACATGTCTGTTCGTCCACCCATTGTAAAGCGCTGCGGAATTTGATGGCGCTATATAAATACCATAATAATAATAATAATAATAAAGAGCAAGGAACTCCAGTCTACCAAACAATTTTTGGAACCATGCTGACCACAGACCATATCAAAAAGGAAGCATTATTGAGGGATCAATAAGGTGATAAACCAAACTATAACCACTTCAGTGATTTAAAGTTGTCATTTTGCCTGCAGGTCATTTGAGCACATACAGTGGAACCTCGGGACTCGAACTTAATCCGTTCCACAAGGCTGTTTGAGTATCGAATTGTTCTAAAACCGAACCAAAATTTTCCATACGAATTAATGTAAATTAGATTAATCAGTTCCATACCCCCAAAAGTACAGCATTTTAACACATATTTTACAGTTTAATAATACCTTAAATGCATAAAATCATACAGAAAACCAATAAACACAATGAAAATGTAACTTCACTTTACCTGTCAGCTCTGTTTGCTGACAGAATGGAGCTCTGTTTGCTTTGTCTAGTGCTAGGAGGTCGATGCATCATACCAACAAGGTTAATGCTGTGTGATTTTGTTCTAATGCCGAGTTTTCTTCTAATACCGAGACATTTTTTTCTCAAATATTTTGTTTGAATACTGAATTGTTTGAGTGCGGAAGCGTTCCAGAACCGAAGTTTCACTGTATTGAATTTCACCACTTTTTTCAGCCAGAGGTGTAACTCTACCTCCTGCTGCATCCTTGGGGTGTCATTAGATAGCCTGGATCAGTTAAACTGTCTAATGTCAATTCTGTGCATATTTTAGCTGATACTCTCAGCCAGTGAATGCGCAGTAGGATGCAGAAACTGGATGTTGTAAGCCTGTTGGAGAGAAAATCTAGAACCCAGGTCTTTAGTTTTGGCTGCTTGCCTTTAGCTCTGCTGCTTGCCTGCTTCAGGGAATATGGGGAGGGTTACTGCCTGGACAGGGAGCAAATGACCTGCACCTCCGGCACTTGCAGACTACATTAATCATGTGTTTTGTGGTCCAGCACTCAGTGAGCCACAATGCAGTGACTGGTATTCCCAGCCTCCGATAGCCCCCGGGCAGGGGGGCCCGCCACCGTCCTCCGGGCCCGCTTCCCACAGTACACGAGGTCTCCCTTCCGCGAGATCTACGGGCCCATCCAGGGGGCCCATAATCTAGTACATTGAACTGCTGTGTCATGCAAGTCTGCCGTCAGGCTCTCCATGTGATATATTTCCTCTCCTTTCTCCATCCATTCCGAGATTGTGGGGTTTGCTTGCGACTTCCACTTAGCTGGTATCAGGCTCTTTGCCGTGTTCAAAAAATGTTTTGTGAGGGATCTCTTGTATCTCCCAATAGGCATCGTGGTGTGGTGGAGTAACATTGGGAGTGGTTGCAGTGGAATATCTGAGTCAAGGATCTCGTTCAGTTTGTCGTGGATTTGTTGCCAAAAGCGGGCAATGGCCGGGCACGACCACCATATGTGTAGATCCGTACCCTCCGCAGTGCCACACCTCCAGCAGCTTGCCATCTGGGCGAGACCCATGCGGAGAAGTCATGCTGGCGTCTTGTACCAGCAAGTCATGAGTTTATAATTAAGCTCCTGGAACTTGGCGCTAATTGTCCCTTGATGCGTCAGTATGTGGATCTTCTCCCATTCGGCCTCGGACAGTACGTGCCCTGTGGCCTGCTCCCATTTTGCCTGGTAGGGTGCCGGCTGGGTCTTTGTGGCTGCGGGTATCATAGCGTAGAGCATCGAGATTCCCCTTGGTAGATGTGTCTCGGCAGTGCATAGTGTTTCGAATTGGGTTAAGTTCCTGTGTATGAGGTGTTTTCCGGTTATTGTAAGGTACGATTGTCGTATTTGATGGTATCGGAAACGTAGCATCTCGGTCGCCCGCTCCTGTGTCAGTAGGCCCGCAAGGGATGTCAGTTGTCCGGCAGAACACCAATCCCCTAGACGTAGTTTGTTGGCATGTCCCAGTCCTGTTACATCTCTCGGCGCCAGGCCTCCCGCTATGTCAGGGTTATAGATCACATGCGTCATTGGGTTCGGGTTAGTCGAGAGTTCGAGTTTATATTCGCAGTGTTGCCCTGATTAGTGGGTGTTCTCGAATGGCTCCGGTCTGTAGGGGGTTTAGGAGCCAGACGACCGATGGGATCCGTCCCCGCGCCTGTGCTCGTTCGAGATGGATCCGGTGTTTGTCAATTGTCGGCACATGCCAGTCCACAATCTGGAGGAGTTGAGGTGCGTGGTAGTAGAATTGCAGGGCAGGTAGACCCACTCCCCCGCTGCATTTTGGGAGAGTGAGCTGCGTATGTTTAAGTCTGGCTGTACCCGAGGTCCAAATGAATTGCCGAATGGTCGTGTTTAAGGTTGTAAAATAAGCCTGGAGTACGCATGTGGATATCGTCTGGAAAAGGTATAGAAGCTGTGGGAGAAGATTCATTTTAATGGCATTGATTCTGCCAAACCATGAGACACACGCAGCTCCCCACTTCTGCATATCTGCGCGGAGTGTACCCAGTAGGGGTAAATAGTTATCCTGGTATAATCTACTCAGGTCACTTGGTAGCCAGATCCCTAGGTATTTGATGCGGTGCGTGCACCATTTGAAGGGGAAGTTTACTTTAAGCCGTTCAAGTGTATCTGAGCGTAAATGAAGTGGCAGCACTTCAGACTTGATTGTGTTCAGTTTAAGATTTAATAGCGGTCCGTATTCCCCGAATGCCCGCAATAAGTTCGGAATTGCTGGATTTTCAATGAAGAACAGCATGTCATCTGCATGTGCAGCATGTGGGTCGTGCCCTCTATGTCAATTCCTGGTATACCCCCATCCTGTCTGACCGCCGCCAGAAACGGCTCTAGCGTGAGGGCAAACAGAAGGGGGGAGAGGGGGTCGCATATATTGCTGCAATCCATGTAAGGAAGTGAGGTCCGAAGCCCATCTCTCTCAGGGTCTCCCTCATAAACTGCCAGTCCACCCGGTCAAAGGACTTCCGTGTGGCGTGGATGATGTTAAGCGCCCGTACCGTATTATCTTTGGCTTTGGGATAAACCCCGTCTGATCCGGGTGGACTAGGTCAGTGGCGACCCGGGCCACGTGGAGGGCTAGAACCTTGGTGAATAACTTAAGATCCGCGTTGAGCAGGGAGATGGGTCTGTAGCTGGAGCACGCGGCTGGGTCTTTTCCTTCCTTCGGGATAACCGCCACAGTAGCTAGGAGTTTATCATCGGGGAACCACCCACCTTCCAGTATGGTGTTCAGTCTCTCTAGGAGTTCCGGCAGGAGTATCTCCCCAAAGCTCTTAAGGTATCGGGCAGGTAGTCCGTCCGGCCCCGGCGCCCTATTCGTCTTGGTAGCCTTGAGGGCTCCTATGAGCTCCTCCAGTGTTATGGGTGCCTCCAGGTCCTCGGCTTGGGCCTGTGTCAACTTCCGGTGTACGTGGGTTTCCAGGTACTCCCGCGTTCTAACCAACCTCTCCTGGGCTGTCGGGGGTACCTCGTTTGTCGGCAGGTTATACAGTTTAGTATAGAAGTTGTGAAATTCGGCTCTGATTTTGTCTGGTCTTCTCGTGGGTGTTGATCCTGCTTTCTGTAGCGTCATTATCTGAACTAGTCTACGCTTTTTCTGCAGCATTCTCGCAAGCATTCTGCCGCATTTGTTAGAATGTTGCGGAGCGTGTGTGTCAATTCTTGGGACAATATTCATTTCAAGTCTCAGCACGCCTCTAGAAGCTTCCGGTAGGTGTCTTCCGACTGGGTGGTTCTATGATCGAGCTCAAGTTGGGCCGTCTGCGTGTATAGGTCCGCGAGGATCCTTTTTGCATTTGGTACAGGCCTTAATAAAATGACCACGGATGACGCATTTATGCGCTTCCCATCTCGTCAGTGGTGTCACTTCCGGGGTGTTGTTGGTTTCAAAGTAGTGTTTCAGTACCTCTGCTGCTTCCGTAAGAATCAGTGTGTCCCCCAAAATCTGCTCATTGAGCCTCCATTGCCGACAGCTTGGTTTGAATAGGGGGGAGTTCATCGTTACGAGTACCGGGGAGTGATCCGACCACATCGCTGTTCAGATATCACAGGTCTGGAGCAAATGCAGGAATTCTTGGGCCACCAAAATGTAGTCTAAGCGACTGTGCCCTCGGTGGACTGGTGAATAGTAGGTGAAGCCTTTATCCTCCGGATGGAGGATTCGCCACGCGTCTGCTAGTCCGGCGGCGCGGATTGCGTTGTGGGTAACGCGGCGGCACAAGTCCGAGTGCGAGATCCGGCCTTTAGATGTATCCATACGGAGGTCAAGGGGGACATTCAGGTCCCCAGCTACAATGAGAAGTCCTTCACGGAAGTGGTCAAGCAGCTTGAGGGTTTTGGAGAGAAAGCGGTGTTGGCTCGTATTCGGGGCGTAAATTGAGGCGAACGTATTTCGTCTGTCTGCAATCGTGCCTTTAATGAACAGGTAGCGTCCATTCGGGTCCCCCTTTGTTTCCAGGCAGCAGAACAGTATGTGTCTGGCAAATAAGATCGCCACCCCTGCCTTTTTTGTGCTTGAGTGATTGGCAAAGCAGCCAGTAGGGAATCTTGAGTCGCGTAGCGCGGGGTGGTCCGAGCCTCTAAAATGAGTCTCCTGGAGAAACGCAATTGAGGCCCTATTGACCCACAGGGACCGTAGCAGGTGCGACCGCCTCTCAGGGGCATTGAGCCCTCTGACGTTGTTGGTCCATATGCGCAGCGCGCGGGACAGAACCCCCCAGCTCCCGACGAGCCCTCCGGCCGCACCATCTTGGTGGAGAGGGTGGGGGGGGAGGGAAGAGGATTGGTAGGGAAGGGTGGGTCAAGTCCAGTCGTTCAAGTGAAAAGGTCGTCTGTGGTCTGGGTTGGGTTCGGTACTTCGTCCGTGTCCGCTGTCGATTTGTGTAGGGACTTGACTGTCTGTGGAGGGTACCTGCCAGGGGTTATTCCCCGTGCCTCCCACAGTCTATCCTAGTGGTTGTGCGCAGTATCCACGCAGGTAACTGGTCAGTCTCGCTGTGTGTACGAGGTACGATGTGTCGTGTCTCTGTATCGCCCTGCGCCCGCCCCGGGCCACTAAGTGTCTGTGTCTGTGTACAAACTAGGTACAGTGCAAACTATTTACATTTCTACTACCGCCAGCCCCCCGGCCACCGAGCTAGACCCCCATGGGTCCTCCCGCCCGAGCACCCACCCGTCGTCAAATCCACGGACTTTGTGGTATCCCGGGGGCCCCACCAATCCCCCCAGTCCGGTTCCGGTAGGCCGCGGATCCTAATATTTTGACGGCGGCTGCGGTTTTCTAAATCTTCAACCTGGCGGCGTAGGGTCAGGAGGAGGTTACCCTGGCGAGTGGTCACGAGCCCGGTGGCCCAGTGCTGATTACGGCACACCTGTGCTTCTGTCTCCAGTGCGTCCACCCTCACCTCCACTGCCGCCAGGTCTGTGAGCAGGGCGGAAATTTCTTCCCTCACCGCCGTCCGAAACTCGTGCAGCAGGTTGCCGGTGTCTACCTTAGTCAGCATTTGGGCAGAGATCTGTGACAGCTCCTGCCTGATTATAGTGAGTGCGTTGTCCCCCTCGCTTCCCTCCATTGACTCTCCCGCGCTGGGAGAGGTCGGCGCCATCTTGTCTACATGTCCGGTGCCTCGCTGCTCCGCCGGAGTGGAGACAAAATCGTCCATGGTGCCCGTGGGTCTGCGCGGTGAGCGCTGCTACTGCATGCCTAGAAGCTGGGGTCTGTTATTACGGACCATGTTCGTGGAAGGAGACGGCAGATTATCACTTTTTAGCAGCCCAGGGCGAGGAGCTCAGGTTCTACCCGTCCGTCTCCATGCACGGTCCGGCCACGCCCCCCAGGCTTAGGAATTAACCAGACCGGACAGACGAAATGACTGTAGAACTCCTACGTATCCTCCGGTCCCACGACTTGACCCCCCCATCCCTTTTCTGCCTTCTCCTAATTCCCTACCCTCTAATATTCCTACGCTTACATCTCTCCTACAGACGAAACTCACTCTCCCAACTTCAGGATGAGACTCATCACATAAAGGTAGAAACTCAGCTCAAGGTGACACCTACAGACCCGAAAACTAACCAGGGTTTCCAGAAAACCGATCAACTGCCACTAGCCCTTAACCACTGACCAGAGCACAATGACATACCACCCTAAACCATGGGTCTAAGACCTGAGCCAAGAGATGCCTCTGGAAAGTTATAAAGAGAGCGATACACAAAGGGTACTAGATCCTAGATCCTAGACAGCAGATTCTGTATGAATGTGATGAGACCTGTATTTCTCATAATGTGCACTGTTGTTCACACCGAAATGTAAAAGGACCTGCGTGTCCTCATTATTGTTACGATGTCCTCAGAACAGTGACTTACAGAACAGCCCTGCCCCTGGACACACTAAGGTTTACCTCTTTGTCCATTTGAAATGTTGGTAGGAATTTACACATGGCCACCACACGCCACACTCATTACACACAGACTACACACACATTACACACAGCCAGCAAACAACACGTAAACACATTACACATAGCCAGAGCCAATAAACATCACACATATATTACACAAAGCCAGTAAACATCACAAAAAAATTTTCATGTTCAATCCGATGTTAACTTACTTTAGAAGTTTTCATCTCCTGCTCTATAAATTGAGCTTTATTTACACGCAGGAGGCTCCTGCAGGGTCTAAGAAGATAGAGCAGGAGATAAATCCAAATTAAACAGAATTTGCAATAAAAGAAGTTTGAACAGTAGGTCTCTCTTTATGGTAAGTGTTTATAAAGGTTGTGCAAGTCATATGTAGGGTGTGTGAGTAGGGCTGTGTAAACAAAGTGATGGAGCTCCTAAATGGCAGAGACTTGAGCAGTGAAACTGCAGGGGCGTGATCTATGCACCAAAACTGCTTTAGAGTTGTGCCAGTGCCTATAGTGTCCCGGAAACTAGGGTTTATATTAATAAGGATTCACTAAGGCAGGGTTAGAGATAGTACTATGGAAGGGCAGGGTAAGAAATAGCATCAAAGGTTGATGTTGGTCAGTAGAGTAATAATAATTTGATAAAAATTCTGTGCAGAAAGCAACAATTGCACAAGAGCCTTTCTCAAGCCTTGTGGCACTTGGATGGTCCCATATTAATGTGTCTTCTAATTTTTCTATATTACACTGGTCAGTATGCTGTCACATAGTGTCACTTTACCAAATAGTGTCTCTGGGAAGTAAGGAAAAGGCATGTCAAAATTAGGGTATATCTATAATTTGACCCTATAAATTCTCCAAAAAGGTGATGCACCTGAGAAATGTGGCAGAATGGTAATCAATCATTGAAGTGGTCGTTTACACAAGGCTCTTGCAATTCACCATTAAAGTCCAAGATGGATTTGGAAAAGAAATACAAACCAATTGCCACAAACTTTGTCATGAATTGGTAATGAAACTGGCAAAAGAAAAGATTCAAAATGCCCCCACTACCCCCAAAAAATAGCCCACGTTGTCTTCTTTTTCAAATGGTATACCATGATGCAAATACAGTGCAGATGGGGAACATTCTTTTTAGACATCCCTTTAGAAATTGTAATAGTTTAGTTGATATGTAATGAACAGACAGCAGCAATTACCATAATATCTGTATTCCTAACCCTACAGTCCTGATGCCCTTTATCGATTATGTGTTGTTGACCCCCTATGTAAAATACATTTTTTTTTAAATTACTTTTCTCCCTCGACGCTGCCACGTTCTCCTCCTTAGTTTGCGTCATCCTGGAGGTATGCCCTTATAATATTAAGTCCAGTGGACGAAACGCGTAGGATCTATATGCTGGGGACTTGCAGTGCTGCACCCTGTTGCTCCACTTTGCAGTGGATACATGCTGTTTTTATCTGGATGTTTTTGTTAAGAAGACTCCTTTCAATATTATACTGAAGACTTCTCTTGAATAGGATGATGTGCCTGATATTCACTTACGTCTTGTAAGTTTTCCTCATTAATATTGCATGTCCTTTTGTATATACATTGATCACACTATATGCGGTTTATATATCCATTTGTAGACACTGTCTACGATGCTTCCATACTATAAGGTTGAATTTTTTACCTTCTTTAAACCTTGGAAGTCACCATCCATTCTTGTGCATTCCTACTTACCTGTATGTTTCACTGTGTTTTGGTGTTCTAGAGGGCACACTATTTAGTAGGTTTGCTTTATAAGTCCTTTTAGTGGTTGGTGTTTTCTTGTTTTATAATATTGTAAAGCGCTGCAAAATAAGTTGGCGCTATATAAAAACCAATAATAATATGATGAGACATAGGTGCATGCACGGCACTAACTGCAATACACCTACTATCATTCCATAGAGAAACATTACATTCAATTACTCTCAATGGCGACCGTGACTGCGCATGCACATGTGAAGTCATGGTATGCTATGGTATGAGAGTTGGGAAGGAAGATTCCTGGCTTTCACACCCATTGGGCTTTGAAGCGTGGCTTAAAGCAGCACTTCCAAGCCATCTAGTTAGTATAATATTGCGTTTGAAGGGGTAGGACAGGGGGCAGGACTGCAAGCACTATAACAACTTCAATAAGGTGCCCACAGTGCCGCTATAACTTGTAGGTCATGTGTTATAAACGGTACATGTACATTATACAGGTGAGGTTGGTCACAAATATGAAATAAAGTTTATTTTTAAAAATGGTGCAAGGTATATAATACCAAGTAAGAAAATGAGGTAACATGGACATGGTAGACCCTTGTTATGGCCAAAAATAAAAAATGAAAAGAGGTTTAAATTGAAAATGAAAATTTCTTTAGCAAACAGTTCTGGATCTCTGTAAATTCCTATTAAACAGTATTGGTTTTTTTTTTTACTCCAATCCTTGCTGTGATGCTGGGGAAATAGGACTGTGATAGATATTAATTAGGTTATCTTAATGTGACAATTACAGCCCTCTTTCGATTCCCCTTTGCCTACAGATCTTTCCCTGTAATAAGCAGCAGAGGCTCCCAGCTGGGAATTCAATGATGCTTAGCATCTCCGGCTGGGCGGTCACTTTGGAGAAATAGAGGATGCAACAGGATGGGAGCTTGGCTGATACAGTAATCCTCTGTGTACCACTGCATGGAGAACCATAGCAGACAGGACTATGAGTCTTCTGCACCCAAAAGTACTCCAGGCAAGAAGAGGTGAGCCTCAAACACTTTCCTCCAGCATATGATAGTCACTACACCTCCAGTAGGTAGGTGGTTTTGTGTGTGGAGGTGTGTGCATATGTGTGTGATTATTTGTATATAAATTATTTATTTTTTGGAATCTAAATTCTACTAAATAAATTAATTCCATTAATAATTGGATTTTATAACTGGCTAGATTAGAATATTTTCAACTATTTGTGCTTTGTGTAATCTGTTTATTCAAATCATTTATACTTTTTGGGCTGCTTTATTGGAAATTAAAAATAGTCAAAACTATTGTTATAAAACCTGTATAATGGTGTTACTGTATCCCCTTGTATAAAAGGCGTTTTGTTATATTCTCATTATTATGTTTGATATTCTGCTGAAAGTGGATGGCTAAATATACATTTAGATGTATATTTTTTTCCAGCATAGATAAGTGCAGGTCAGATCTTGACATGTGTGAATTAATAAATCAATATCTGCTTTTATGGAGTTCCTGGATCTATATAAACACTCGCATATATAATGTGTATGTAAACAAATACACACGCACATGTCTATCGTTTACATTCTGATTAATCATTTAAAGGAACACTATAGTGTCAGGAATACAAACATGTATTCCTGACACTATGGTGCTGGTGTGGCTGTTTAGGTGACCAGCCCCGCTCCAATTGAGCTGAAAAGGTGTGTTGACTCACCTTTACTTCCACACTAAGCCAGTCTTGCCATGATCTGTGGCTGAGATCAATTAGGAGGCTATTGTGCATGCGAAAAAAACGCTGCGCTGCACCAATCAGCATGTCCTTATAGCATCAATGGATCTCTAAGGGGGTAACATTACGTTTCTTAATGCAGTGTTCAGAAGCTGACCCGGGAAGCACATTTAGTGGCCATCTGACTGTCAATTGAGGTGTTCCTAGGCAGCAAGATAAATACGGCCTTTTCTGTAAAATGGCAGTGTTTATAGTGCTAAGGCTGCAGGGACAGGCTATAGACACCAGAACCACTGCATTAAGCTGTAGTGGTTCTGGTGACTATAGTGTCCCTTTAGCACTTTATAAGGCTAGAAAGAGTTTTTGTTTTTTTATTGAGATTTTTTTTAAATTCTTTATTTAGAGGGACACTATAGTCACCAGAACAACTACAGCTTTTCAGAGAAAAGGCAGTGTTTACATTGCCCCTAGGGACACCTCCAAGTGTCCACTCATTAGATGGCCACTGGAGAGGCTTCCTGGCTCAGGGCTGCACAGTAAGCAGCTATGCCGTTCAGCGTCCCCACATTTTCCTCATAGAGATGCAGTGATTCGATGCATCTCTATGAGTTGGACCTGATTGGCCAAAATGGCATTTGGCCCCGCCTCGTGCCGATTTTAGCCAATCCAATGCTTTCACTATGAGAAAGCATTGGATTGGTTAAAAATCGGCCATTTTGATGGCGCTGGAGTTTTAAACTTTTATAGGGGAGCTAAGGGGGGGCAAGCCACCTAAATG